TCCTTTGAGAATTTTGTTTAAAACCTTCCCCCACCCACCCTGCAGCTAGAAGCTGAACCCTTCAAACTTCTTTGTATTGCCAAAGAACACTGAAACAGAACACAACATGAGTCCCTCAAAGATACCAACTGCCCTTGTGATGTGGTATCAATCAAAGAGCACAGCATTCTTAGAAGGACTTAAGAGATGGAAACACCTCCTTCAGGAGAGTATTGACCTTGATAGGGGATATGTCCAAAAGAATATGTGGTAGTTATATAATTTCATGTCAACTTGATGAATAAAGTGAAGGGGTGGAGTCTAGTCTGTCAATCAAGTCAAAGCCTAATGATGCCTCTTTGTGGGTGTGACTGTCTCATGAGGAGGATTCCAGGAACTTCCTCTTTCTCTCGGCTTCACCTTTCTGTTGAAGAGCCATGCTCCAGCTGGAGGAGCCACGCGGTGACCCGTGCCAGGGCTGAGATGCGCCCACCACTGCCACTGGATCCACAAGACTTTGCACCCACCAGCCTTTGATCTTCCTGAATTTTGCATCACTGTATGTGACTGTGTGAGTCTGAAGAAGGATTGATGGACTAATATTGAACTTATGGGCTAATATCAGACTTACAGACTTGATCTGGACTGGGCTGGGATGTTGTTTCCTTGATATACAATTACTCTTTGATGTAAAGCTCTTACACATGCATGAGTGTCACTGGATCCACAAGACTTTGCACCCACCAGCCTTTGATCTTCCTGAATTTTGCATCACTGTATGTGACTGTGTGACTCTGAAGAAGGATTGATGGACTAATATTGAAGTTATGGGCTAATATCAGACTTACAGACTTGATCTGGACTGGGCTGGGATGTTGTTTCCTTGATATACAATTACTCTTTCATATAAAAGTCTTTCTTATACATATATGAGTGTCAACCCAGACTAACACAGTATAGCTTCACATTTTTGCATTTTCCTTTAGTAAAAGTGTCTATGATTTTGTAGCAACACTTTTTGACTTATCCTCATATAACAAATAGAAATACCTAGCTGTTCCATGGAGCAAATATGTCACTAGATTATCTCATTGAATCTTTGCCACAATACTTAGAGGGGTTGCTGTTGTTGACAGGTGACATCAAGTCAGTTCTGACCCACAGCTTCCGTTGTTGGAAGCTCTTCAGCAAAATTTTACTCTCATGTGAAATCATTGATATTGTGGATTCTATTGGGTTATCTTTCTTTGGAATGAGCGCAAATAAGACTCTCTTCTAGCCAGTTGGCCAGGCAGCTACCTTCGAATTTTCTTGGCATAAATGAAAGAGTAATAAGGTGCTCTACCTCTTCGTTTGAGTGCTTCTAAGGGGTGGAGCACCTTGTGTCACAGTTTATGGCCAAGGGAAGTAAAATGTAATATATTGAAGGGAGACACTTGGGAGCATGCAGGACAGCAAATCAGGATTCAAACCCGGATAGTCTGACCACAGAGTCTGAATTTTGTGCCTGGAGGAAAAACGAAACTACTGAAGCCTATGTAAATGTCTTTAAGTGTCACAGCGAATACAGAGGTCTTTCAAGTAACAATGTACTAGTGGGGGTAGGGCTGTCTATTAGGTACATCCCTGAAAGAGAAGGTATGAGGTGTGGAACTTCAGCCAGAACCCCCCTGGGCAAACCACAGCAATCCCCATTTTGTGCCTCTGGCTTTTTCAGTCTCACAGAAATAGAACCCATCCCCCCTCCCCACCTTACCTGGAAACATGAAGACTGCTACTTACATGTGTGTAGTGATCTAACCGATAGCCCTTCTGGCCAGCCGGGGGTGTCAGGGCAAGATGTCGAGGCTGACAGAGGCTGAACCTTCCACAGAAGGACTCTGATGCACTGAGGAGGCCCCCCTCATAACTGGAACCTTGTGGGCCTGGAAGAAGGTTCACATAATGGAGGACGTGGTTTGAAATCACAGACAAGGAGAAAGGCAGTCCTTGATGTAAAATAAGACAGACTTGCCTAACGTATGTGCAGAGGATGGATTGCCTGTTCACCTTGACATTGGCCGCTCAGTCAATGGGGGAACTGTCAGGTCATGGGGTAGTCTGTGCCCAGCGTCAGAAAGCTCTAGTCATGAAAAAGCCTTGTCTGCTGTAGAGAACTGAGAACTTATCACCATTGCTATACGTACCGGGACATTAAACACTGTTCAGGAGCAAAGATATAGAGCATTGATTGGACTTTACTTCATCTTAGTGGCAGTTTTTAAAACACACACTCACATTTTAAGGATTTATTAAGGCTACTCGCTCGTGTTGGTGAAGAATATTGAAAGTACCATGGACCGCTAAGAGGACAAACCTATCTGTCTCGAAAAACCACACCCAGAGTGCTCCTTAGAGGCAAGGATGAAGAGGCTTCACCTTGTCTAGGTTGGGTATTTGGGCAGACCTTGGAGAAGGACATCATGCTTGGTAAAGTGGGGAGGCAGTAAAAACAAGGAAGACCCTCCACGGGCTAGATTGACTAAGTGGCTTCAACAATGGGTTCAGACATAAAAACCATTGTGAGGCTGGCGCGGGACCACGCAGTGTTTCCTTCTGTTGTGCATATGGGTCAGAACTGACTCGATGGCACCAACAACATCACCAACTCTCTCACATAACAACTCCTTTAGATGAGATACAAACATTAATTGAGCAAGAGTTGTACCGTCTTGCTGGTTGCCCATTTAGTCAATGTGCACAGTGAAGAGCATTGGGGTGGCAGGGTAGTACAAACAGTTAAGCCCCTGGCTACTTACTTAAAGGTTAGAGGATCAAGCCCACCCAGAGACACATCAGAAGGAAAGCCTGACAGATCTAAAAATCAGCCGCTGAAAATGTTACAGAGCACAGGCCTACTCTGATACTGAACTGACTGCTCCACTGAACCACTCAGGAAGAATGCCTTCCCTCCTACTGATATCCTCACCAAGCATCTCCCGCCCAGCCTCCCAAACACCTAGCCAAGCCACTGGGCTGCTCCAAATCCAAGTCCAGTTTCCATAGCTTCGTTTGACTCTGTTGGCAGCTTGGAGAGGAAGTGAAACTTGGTCCCATTTTACAGAACAAGGGTGAAAGAAGACAACGTTGGGAAACCAAAGACATGGCCTCCCACTTAACTCCAATTCATAGCCCCCCGTGTAGGGTTTCTGGGTATGGAAATCTTCATGAGAACAAACCGCCTCATCTTTCTCCCACAGAGAGGCTAGTGGGGTTGAACTGCTGACCATCTGGTCACCATCCCGAAAAGTAGCCCTCTCTGCCACGAGGGCTCCCAGGAAAGAGAGTCAGAATTTGTCACACTGGAGATGGCACCTTGTTCAAATCCAAGCCGAAGAAGGATGTCAGCTGAACGTGGTTCCAGTTTGCATTTTACTGCAAGTAACTCCTCTAGGGCTGTTTGAATCTATTCAGAGGGGGGAAAACCATAATGAAGAAATAGATAATTACCACAAGTTCCTCCTGCAGTGTAAAGACCACCTGTTGTTATCTCAACCACGTAAAGAAGGTTCTCACCTGGTGGGCTGTGGCATTTGCAGGGATTGGCTGGCTAGAGACACTGTCCCAAGTAAGGATAAAGTTCTCTGCACCAGACACGTTCAGCATCTAGAAAGTCAAGGGAAAGTCAGGGAGAAAGTCCCATGAGGTTAGAGAGCCAGAGAGACGGTCGAAGAGTCTGGGATATACTTTCTCACCTTGCTATTTCTTTTTTTATTTCAATTCCAAGTTTCTAAACTATCATCTAAAAATTGCTGGAGAACACAGGTTCCAAAAACATCCTGTCTTAAAGTACTCTGTGTGAGTGTGTCTGTCTGTCCTCCTGATTCACCAGCCTCTCTCCCTTCACATCGGAGTGAAACTTCATTGTTGCCGTTGAATGCCAAACATTCAGCTTTGCTGCCAGTTTATTGCCTCCTGGGGCACCTTGCACGATGTTATGGTTTGTAGTTTTTAAATCTCTTATTATTTTCTACTGTGTTCTTTGGTCCTTCGTTTGCACGGCTGACATTTTTACCGTAGGCTCTAGAGGGCAAAGTTTGTGTTGACTCATCCTTGTCCACTAAAAAGGGCACAATTCTAGTGGGTCAAAATTTTTCAATGGAAACCTGGGGAGCAACTGAGAGAACCCAAGGCCTGGACCACTACAAAGTTGTCTTAGAGAACAAACATGCATGAGGAAATAGGAAGTGAGTTGTAGAAGCTTTGGCATTGTGATGTGTGTTTATGTGTGTTTGAACATATGTGTTTCTGTGATGGGGAGTGGGGAAGGGAGGTCTGGAGGCCCTCATCCTATACTGGGGGGTAAAAGTTCCTAAAAAAGACTAAACTCGAAATTAAATTTCTACAATGAATAACTTTGCATTTTTTAGGCTATCTTCACCGCTCTATTGTTCATATGCCGTACGCCTTAGAGGGCACACACTTTAGTGCTGCTGGCTCCCGGCCAGTGATCCCTCTGCTGGGTTAAGGCAGCCTTCCTCCAGCTTGTCCCTCACAAGACAGAGAAGAGACACAGACCTGCATTTCAGGTTGCCTCTCTACACGGGCTCGGATCTGGTGCTTCTCCCGGAGGTAAGTGCTGACCACGTCGGGATTCAGCCAGGTGTTGTGGATCTGGACGCCAATCTTCAGGCCCCTACTGGGGGCTATCCCATGATGCTCTGCTTCCAGGTAGTACTTGGCTCCACCTAATAGCTCCAACTTGGGAGTCTTCCGATGTGAGGTCCCTTCCTTCCCATTCTCCTCCCAGGAGTCAAACCAGTCATCAGTGCCCACCTTGAGGGAGGCCATTTCCACCTATGTTCAAATAAGCATAGCACAAGCAACACGATAAAGTTTCTGGGCAGCTCTTTCATGACCAGGAAATGTCTGGGCAGCCACAGCAAGGGACTTTTGGCCTTCTCCACAGTGGAACTGTCTCTCTAGAGAACCAGAAAGACTGGCTTCCAACGTCCCCTTGTTGCTAGGTGCTGTCGGATGGATGTCACCTCATAGCAACTCCATGTGACTACTAAATAGAACTAACTGCACAATACGGTCTTCTAGGCTGCAAGCTCTACTGAAGCACATCACCAGGTCTGTGTTCATGGAGCCTCTGGGAGGGTCGAACCACCATTCTTTCAGTTAGCAGCCAAGCACTCGACCATTGGGCACCCAGGCCTCCTTTCCAATATATGAACCAGTTGAAAATTGATCTGTGATTGGGTGTAGGCTTCTTTGTCTGTCTGTCTGTCTCTCTCAGTTAGTAAGTACTCAATCATCTTGATGGATCATTATTAGAACAGAAATGACTAGCATAAACCTCAAGGTTTATTTGAGGCTATGGTTGAAGTGGTATTACAATTTGAGAGCTTTAGGGTGATTTCGCCAGGACAAAAATCTAGGACATTTGTTTCTAACCAACCAACAGGGCCGTTTCATAGAAGCATATGTAGAATTCGAGAGAGAGAAAATAAGCATTGTCAACGTCCCTAATAAATGCCGGCTGCTTGTTAAGGGTTCATTAGCTAACCCTTTGAACTTGATCGGGATAGTGCAGCATAAGACTAGCTACCTGAACTGCCAAAAGAACAAACAAATCTATCTTAGAAGAAGTACAGCCAAAATGCTCCTTCCTCTCTCAGACTTTGAACAGGTTGTCAGGAGTGACGCACCCCTGGAAAAGGGTATCCCACTTGGTAAAGAAGAGGGCCAGCAAAAGAGAGGAAGACCTTCAACAAGAGGGACTGACACAGTGGTTGCAACAACAGGCACCAACATAACCACTGTGAGGAAGGTGCCGTACCAGTAGCAGGAATTATTTCATTCTCTTGTCCAGAGGATCTCTATGGGTCAGAAATGACTCGACGGCACCTAACAACAACAACAACCTCACTACCCAAACCAAGTGGGAAAGATACACAGTTGGAATCAGGCAAACCGGGGATTAAAACTTGAGTGGGCAGCATACTATCTAAGTGGCCCTGAACTGGTCATATAATTTCTCAAAGC